AAACTGTATTATTTATAACACAGCCACATTTTTTGGTATGAAACCGTATTATTTATAACACAGCCACATTTTTTGCTATAAAACGTATTATTTATAACACAGCCACATTTTTTGGTATGAAACCATATTATTTATAACACAGCCACATTTTTTGGTATGAAACCGTATTATTTATAACACAGCCACATTTTTTGCTATGAAACCGTATTATTTATAACACAGCCACATTTTTTGCTATAAACGTATTATTTATAACACAGCCACATTTTTTGCTATGAAACCATATTATTTATAACACAGCCACATTTTTTAGCTTTCAGTTTGTTTTGTTTTACTTTCTCTGTCATTCTTTTTTAATTTTTTTGGGTAAAGAAACTTTGTTTTTATAATAACAACATTGTATTATCTTGTAACTTTGAGACAAAACATGCTTTAAGAAATGTATATAAAAACATCATGGCTACAAAATAAATATTTTACTTGTACTAATATTTTAGATTATAGAGGTTAATTTTCTATGAATTTAGGGGAATTACATGATTGAGTTAGTGTGTCTTTCTCATAGATTCCAGATATATGGAAGAGTGCGGACAGTCGGAAAGTGTTGATACGCTGTCTTTGGGATAATGTCAAGCTTCACGAGGAAATGGGTCAGCCTCTCTACATGTTATGGAACCAAGAAGGTAGATTAATTATTGGTGGGCTCCATATGGGTTTCTAAACACATTTTTATAAACTACTTGTGCACCAGGTTATCTGTGACTTTGTGGGTTATAGGATCACTAACAGTGGTGTAAGAATGAGTTGTAAAGTGGCGGGGGGGTGCTTGTGTAGACTGAGAGACTGGAAGTATAAGGAGCTCAATCTAGAGGGGTCTGGGGGCATGTTCCCCAGAAAATTTGTATAATAATATAATTACAGTTGCTATACGAGTCAAATATGTAAAAGTGGGGGTGCTACAGCAACCCTGAGTTATGATGCCTCTGGCTAATAATACATGAATCATACAAAAATGCAGTCAATAACACAGTTACCCCCAATGATTAATAGTGGGGCCCCCAGTGTATCTCCTGAAGAAAATGGGTGAGTTCACTATATTTTATTGGCCTGTTCTTTGAAATGAATGCTGTATTAGGCAAAAACAAAATTTCTCAATTATAGACCCCATTGTTGGTGAACAGTGTATGGCCCCACTGTTGGTTAACAGTGTAGAAAAGAAATTGGTAATTTGAGATTAATCATACTGTTGGTACATGAGGTTTTCAATCTTATTTCTAACTGGTGATTATAATGAAAATTAGGCTGTATTGGTATTGATTAAATCAATAACCCATTGTTGGTGACTTCTGAATCTAAACAGTTATGGTGGTTTATATTAATATTGTATCGACATATTTATACACACGTATACATCTATATAGGTGCATATTTCAGTATTAATATGAATCTTTGTTGTTCTTATTGTTGAGATTTTGTGTGTTGAATTTGTAACATTCCTTTTGTTGACATTTTAACTGTTGAATTTGTAACATTCCTTTTGTTGACATTTTAACTGTTGAATTTGTAATGTTCCTTTTGTTGACATTTTAACTGTTGAATTTGTAATGTTCCTTTTGTTGACATTTTAACTGTTGAATTTGTAATGTTCCTTTTGTTGACATTTTAATCTGTTGAATTTGTAATGTTCCTTTTGTTGACATTTGATCTGTTGAATTTGTAACATTCCTTTGTTGACATTTTAACTGTTGAATATGTAACATTCCTTTTGTTGACATTTTAACTGTTGAATTTGTAACATTCCTTTTGTTGACATTTTAACTGTTGAATTTGTAACATTCCTTTTGTTGACATTTGATCTGTTGAATTTGTAACATTCCTTTTGTTGACATTTTAACTGTTGAAGTTGTAACATTCCTGTTGTTGACATTTTAACTATTAAGCCTATGTTGTAGTGTATGTTGATAATTCAACTGTTCAATCCTTTGGTTCTGTTATTGATATTTGATCTTGTGTTTGTTATGTGGGTATTTTTACTGTTGAATCAGTTATTCTTCTGATAAGGTACGTTACCTCCTTACACATAAATAGCTATTTTCATTCAGTGCTGTCTTCTGTATGCAGAAAAGTTTTTTGCATGCCACAAGCTTTGATCTCCCACATACCCCATGATTAACGTGGTTCAACTGCATTTTGCATACAAATCATCATGCAACAACCCTCCCCCAATAGGAGTGCTACACACACTCTTGATGCACGTGTCTCCCTCTATTCGTTTATACCAAACTATCACTTCTCATTTGGCAGTGCTCTCGATCAGATGTTTCTTGTTCGTGCTCTCTTCCGTGTTTTTTTTTTTAAATTTCACACTTGGAGATATCTTTTCCCTACTTCACTTTATTGTTCTTCACTTTTTTTTTGGTTTCCACTGAAGCTTATGTTTCCAATTTAAAATGTTATTATTTACTTCCAGCACAATTACCCTGGCTTCAGGTGGCTGTACTCAACTGAGGAATTGTCAGCTTTAGTACATTGGGAGATGGATCGTTATATGAGTTGACTTTTGTCGGGCCTCGAGTTCGAGGGCCCACACATTTGGAATATGGTCCACCAACTTTGGATAGATAAACTGTTTTGTGCCTTACCCTTTGAGGTTTTTTTGGATCTGTATGTCTTTGTCTCCGGTTCCTCATGTACTTGCTTTGGCTGTCAATGCCTTCAGACAGGATTGGGACCTCTTTATTTCTCATCCCATTCATCATTTTCCCCAGGTGATTTCGTTGATGTTCTGCTAGTGTTGATGAAGAGATTTTCTCCAACCTGTTGTTCCATCTCTAAATTTGTCTATCTGGGGGATGTTGTAGCTTTGGAGTGAGCCATCATAATTGCAGGTCACCCCTTCGATGTTGGTTCCAAGTGGCTGGGTTTTGGATTCAAAACTGAACCAGTAAACATAAATCCTCACACATGTATTACAGGTGTCTCTGTTCCCTCACTCATGTTCACTGCTACCATGTTGTGAGTCATGGTGGATGATCATGCAGGTTACTACAGTTACTTGTGTTGATATTCTAATACGAATCTGTTGTTACTTGTGTTGATATTCTACTACGAATCTGTTGTTACTTGTGTTGATATTCTACTAC